CAGGGGCTGCGAAATCTGAAAAATAGCCCAAGAAACGAAACGCAATTATGCAGGAGGGAGGTTCGGTGATATGACACTGAAAATGGGAATTTGACAATCTGCGCGTGTATTCTGGGTCCTTGAAATGCAGCGGCTGGAGAAGTGGGGTCAGGTGTCGGGGGAGGGGGCCCGAGGAGGCATTGGGGGTCCGCACCAGGCTGAAGTGGTGACATCACCCTGGGGGCGGGGCTTCAGGGCTGCGCTGGGAGGGGGCGGGTCCTGAGGGTGAGTGGAGGGGAGGAGCTAGGAGGACCCTCGGGATTAAACCAGCGACCAGGTTGGGCTGCTGGTTACGGAGCGAGGACGGAGGATGCAGGTAGAGGGATGCGGCTGGCGGAAGGGGCTGTGCAGAGCACGGAGAAACCCAGAAATCTGTGGGGTACTGGGGGAGGGTTTGATCAGGGAGGGCTCACTGCAGGGAAGAGAGGTAGAGAATGAGAATGTGTGTGCGGGAGTTTTTACAGAATTTGACAGGTGTGCAGGGGTGGGGGAGCAGAATCCAGGTGAGATATGGGAGGTGGGGTAGAACTTTAAATGAATTATAGGGGCAGAAACCAGTGGCATAAGGTGGGAGGCAGCATCCAGGTAGAATATGATCCCCCGTGAACACGAGGGACTGGTGTTAGGAGAGCAGGGTGGAAAGAAGGGACTTGGAGGGTTTTGGGAGTGGGGAGGAAGGCCCAGGCGTGGGGGGAGGGCTGAGCAGGGGAGGAGAGTGGTTCTGCAGAGGCGAGGAGAGAAGGGCCCAGAACCCCCGTGCAGTTTGAAGAATGGGTGATGGAGACCCTAGGTCAGGGAGGGAGGGAGGGACGGGTTGAACTAGCTGAGGTGTGGGAGTTCTCCCGTCAGTAATTGTTCTGCGCTTTTCTGACCCACACAGGAGAAAGGGCCAGTGGGGAGGGGAGCGGGCGAAGTTAGTGGAGGTGAGGGAGGGGTCTGAGGGGTGAATATCTGTAGAAAGGCCTTGCGATCTTGGGTGAGGCTGCATTTTGCGGGGGGGAGGGAAGCGGGGGAGGGGTGTGAGACCAGGTTGCTGGTGTGGAGCTGTGGCTAAAGGGGGAGGGCGGGGCGGCGAGGCGGGCTCTCTTCCCCTTCGCTCTCCTCCTGCGGACTTGGGTACCACGAGTGATGCTGCGCGCTCCACTCCGCAGGTAATCTGGGCGCCTCTGACGCCTTGGTAACCGGGATGGCACGGCCATTGATTGGCTGGCGGCGTCTGAGGGGCGGGGTCCTGAGCGAGGCTTTGGCTTCGGGTGGGGCGGGGCCAAAACCGCATTGGGAGACCCCTCCCCAGTAAAGTTAAGAGCTCTGGTCTAGAGACACTTCTGAGGAAGAGGTGGTCGGTGTATGGGCCTGGGAGGGATGCTAAATGTGCCTTAGATTACCTGTAAAATGCGAGCCTTCCGTTTAGAAGTGCTGATGGCGCTGCAGGATATACGGTGCATATGCAACCACAAGGTCAGTGGGTCGAACTCACCAGCTAATCTGCGGGAGACCAGTGCTGCTTCCATAAAGATTTACAGCCTAGAAGAGCTCTGGTGGCCTAGTGGCAAGAAGCTGCACTGCAATCCCAGAGGTGCACGGTTCGAATCCACCAGATGCTCTGCCGGGGAAGGAGGGACAATCTCGTCCTGTACCAGTCAGATCTGATTTGACGGTACACACACACACACACACACACACACACACACACACACACAAAGATAATATTAAAAAAAAGAAAAAAGAAAAAAGATTTACAGCCTGAGAAACTCCAAGAGGACCCTTCTCTGCCCTCAGGGCAGCTATGAGTTGGAACCAGCTCCAAGGGCAATAAGTTTGGTTGGTTTTTTTTAAAAAAAGTATTTTTCTGTGTGTACCGTCAAATCGGATCTGACTGGTACAGAAGGAGATTGTCCCTCCTTCTGCAGTAGAGCGTCTGGTGGATTTGAACCACGCACCTCTGGGATTGCAGTGCAGCTTCCTGCCACTAGGCCACCAGAGCTCCCTTAAGTTTGGTTTTGTAATTCACATAGCTGGAGAATTTAAGAATTCCTTAGATTCTCGAAGACTCAAGAGACCAATAAGGTTAAATATTACGGATCTGGAGTTTCAAGGCTCATTTCCCTCTCCTTTAAAATAGTGCACTCCCCAGGTTAGACTCTAAGAAGGACTTCCAGGCAAAGGTATGACTAGAGGAGGTGACGGTAGGTTTCCATGATCGGCAGCCCTGAGTGACTGTTTGGAGCAGGTGTGGGACCTTCCTTTTTCCTCACTGAGACTCAGTTTCTCTTTCTGAATAATGGGGAGAAGATGAGCCTACCTGACCTCTCTGGTCTCTCCTTCAAGCTCAAACAACAACAACAACAACAACGTAATAATTACAAGGATGGCGTGTTTGCTCTATGTAGTAGGCTTTCGTGTGCTTGCTGTATGTGTCCATTGACAAAGAACTTCACTGAGGGGAACCCATTAAATCCTTACAGTAGCCCCTGGGGGTGGGTACTGTTATCCTCTTGTGGCATGAACATCACTTGACCCCTCTTACCGCTCAGGGCTCATTGATGAACCCTCTCTCCCTTACTCATGCTCTCCTGGCCACCTCAGCGTCTGTGCTGTTCTTTTTAGAACAAACCAGGAACAGTCCACCTTTGAGCTGCTGCATGGCTGTTCCCTCCGCCTGCACATGCTTCTCCCAGATAGTCTCACATCTCCCTCCCTTCCTCCTGGTTTCTGCTTAGATGTCCCTCCCCAGCATCCTGCCCTGGCCATTTGAGATACAAGAGTGACCTCTCCTCTAAGACCCCTTCTTGGCCTTGGGGAGCTCTGGTGGCCTAGTGGTAAGGAGCTGCAACTACAATCCCAGAGGCACACTGTTTGAATCCACCAGATGCTCTGCCGGGAAAAGGAGGGACAGTCTCCTTCTGTACCAGTCAGATCTGATTTGACGGTACACTCACACAAAAATAAAAAAAAAAAGACTCCTTCTTGGAACCGACCTCCACTTTATATAGTTGCTGGGCTCTCTGCCCACAAAAGACAGAGGCATCATCTGGATTCTAGTTGCATCTCCAGCTCCCAGACACTTTTCACATAAGGAATCTGGCCCACAGAGAGGTCGGTATCTTGTTCATGTCCACACAGCAGAACCTGGACTTGAACCCACAGAGTTTGGAGTTCTTATTTTGAACCAACTGAACCCCATCCACCACTGCTGAGTCTCTTCTGACTCCTATGGGACAGAGCAGAATTGCCTCAGATGGTTTCCTAAGCTGTAGATCTTTATAGAAACAAACAGCCATGCTTTTTTCTCAGAGCGATCAGTGGATTTGAACTACTGACCTTGCAGTTATTTGCTGAGTGCACTTGGGTTTCTTGAGTTGTATGTGACTTGATGGCACCGAACAACAAAGGCTCCTTTCGTTCGGAAACCCCCCCTGCAGTTGGGAGACTGACCGTCTCTTCTAGTTGCTCGTAGAGCTAACAATGACTTATCAGTAACAGAACAAGCGAACACTAGCTAAGAGAATGCTCTTTTGCTTGTAACAGGTGAATTAATACAGACACAAACTTAAACTCACTTCTGTTGGGTCGGTTCCAAGTCATAGTGACTTTCAGCCAGGCTTCCTAGCTTGCAGATCATAAAGGGAGGTTAGACTGCGTATTTTTCATCTGCGCAGCCACTGTGGCCTTCATGTCATCCAAGACACCCAGCCCTTTTGTTAGCAGGGTGACCTGCTATGGATTATATCCCAGAACTCCTTTGTTGTTGTTGTTATGTCGATATGTCAATAGAGTTGCCTGTGACTCATAGTGACCCTGTCTACCATAGCTCTGAACTCTGCACTATCCTGAGCCAGTCTCACTGTCTCGAACTCACATACTCCCATTATCCTAGTCACTGTATCAATCCATCTCATCTGGGGTCTTCCTCTCCTGAGCTGTCCCTCCACCCTTTCCAAGCATGATTTCCTTCTGTAGGGACTGATCCCTTCTGGCCACGTGCCCAAAGTATGTCAGACAGAGCTTCAAAATCCTTGCCTTTTGAGGGGGTAGGGAGAAAAATGTGCAACCATGAATGAATGAAAATCTAACTTTTCTGTAAACTTTTGTTGAAATCACAATAAAAAGAAAAAAAAAACTAGCATAGGACAAAAGAGGAGAGGTATGTTCTTTACAGCACACATTTACTCTTCTTTTTTATTTGCTCCAATAAAACTCCTATGAAAAAAAAAAATCTTTTCCTCCAAAGAGCAACTTGGTTTCATCCTCTCTAGGATAAACCTGATTGTTCTCTTAGCAGTCCCTGGTGTATTCACTACTCTTCTCCAGCACCACAACTGAAAGGCATTAATTCTTCTTCTGTCATTCTTACTCATTGTCCAGCTCTCTGTTGCACAGTAAGTAATTGTGAAGACCATGGCCTGAATCAGGCATACTTTAGTCTCCAGACTGATATCATTGCTCTTCAGCACTTTGGAGAGGTTTCTGACAGCAGTCATCCTCAGAGCAATTTGTCTTTTGAATTCTTGACTACTGGTGCCAAGAGTGTTGATTGTGGAGCTGAGCAAGCTGAAATTGTTAACACCCTCAGTCTCTTCTCCATCTATTTATGGTGCTGCCAGTTGGCCCAGAATCTTTGCCTTCTTGATGTTGAGCTTCAATCCATACTGAATACTGAAGTCCTTGACCTTCTGCAGCATACGCTTCAGGTCCTCCATTATTAATTAAATTTAAATGCATCATGGGTAATATATCACATCCCTCAATCTGTTTCCATAAAGGTTGCAACCAAAAAAACCCCTAGTATTATTATTATACCCATTTTCCAGATGAGAAAACCGAGGCACAGATGGATGAAATTATTTCCTTACAGTGTCATGGATGGTGCATGCTGGAGCCAGAATATAAATCCTGAGGGCCTGGGTTCACAGCCGCTCTAAGGTCTCTCTGCCTTGTTCTTTTGTCCAGCGACCTTGGTCATGGACCAGCCAGCTGGCTTGCAGGTGGACTACATCTTCCGGGGTGTGGAGCACGCCGTTCGGGTGATGGTTTCCGGGCAGGTCCTGGAGCTGGAGGTGGAAGACCGAATGACCGCCGACCAGTGGCGGGGAGAGTTCGACGCCAATTGTGAGTGTGCCTGCCTGGTGCAGCTCCCCTCCCCTCTGCAAATAAGAGACCAACCAGCTGCCCCACCCCAGTGGCCTCTGCTACCTGTCCGGCTTTCTCAGGTGGGGTGGGGATGTTGGATTCCTTCCCCAGGCTGGGGGCATGGGGTCAGGGGGATTTAGAGAGCTGGATTGTGATGCTTTGGGACTGAGCAAGTGGACAGACCACAGGAGGAACTTTCTCCCCTACCCAGTCATCGAAGATTTGACGCACAAGACAGGGAACTTCAAACAGTTCAACATCTTTTGTAACATGCTGGAGTCGGCCCTCACTCAGGTAGGGGTGCGGTACGGGCTTAGGGTTAGAGGGTTGTGGCGCTGGGGCCTGAGATTGGGGTTCGAGGTGGGGTTCTGCGGCTTGGGTTCCCTGGGGGCAGGTACCGTCTGATTATGTGTGCGTGCTCTTCCATCCCAGGGCCGTGGCTGGCTGTTTCTTTACTTCTTTTCCAAATGCAAATGGCTTTATTATTTTATTCAGCGCCTAGGGAGAGTGAACCCGCTGCTGGCCTCTGAGTTGATTCTGAGTCTTAGAGACGCACTAGGACAGAATAGAACTGTCACACAGACCTTCCAACCTGGAACCTTTACAGATGTATGGTTCTCATCTTTCCCCCACGGAGTAGTCGGTGGATTTGAACCACTGACCTTTTGGGAGCGTAACTACTGCACCCGCAGGGCTCCTGAAATGTAATGACAAAAGTAAAAATTATTCCACTGTTGTTAGTACAGTCATTTTGGTAAAAATCATTCTAGATGTCTCTCTAGTCATTTGTCAATGTGCGTGTGTGTGTGTGTGTGTGTGTGTGTGTGTGTAGATTTATAATTACGTCAGGAAAGTCTGGTGGTGTAGCCCATAGGGCGTTCCACTGCTAACCCCAAAGCTGCACTTCTCTGACAGTTCGAATCCACCAGCAGCTATCAGGGAGAAAGATGAGCTATCTCTTCCTGTGAAATACATAGCCTTGGAAAGCAGTGGAGGGTCAGCTAGGAGTTGGTTTTGACTTGATAACAGAGAGAGAGATACAGATAATTACATCTATTTAGTTATATATAAGGAGTTCTGATGGTATAACAGTTGGTGGTTTGAAATAAGAAGAAAATATTTGTCTAATATTATTATGGAAATATTTTTTTAAATTTCTTTTTTACTTTTTTCTTTTTAATAATATAAATAAAATGAAAAGAAAAAAAGATGTAGTAAATTATTCTAGATTTCTTATATTAACTTCCCCAAGTTATACCTCTAACTTGCAAGGTTGTGTGGGAATTTGGAGGCTGGCCAGTGGTAAATGTGTCCAGAGACAACACTAGACCAGTACTATGATCCCAAGATACTTTCTGGCTTGCTATCCACACTTTTGTGTGGATAGCAAGATCTGAATGCATATTATGGAAATAATTTTGACCTCATGGATTCTGTGAAAGGGGTCCAAGTTCTCACTAGCTCCCATGGTTATATTTAGTTTCTTATCAAACATCAAGAAAACAAAGATTCTCACCACTGATTGGCAGCATCATGATAGATGGTGAAGAGTTTGAGATTGTTAACAGTTTTAGTTTCCTTGGCTCCACAATCAACACTCTTGGTACCAGCAGCCAGGAAATTAAAAGATGAATTGCACTGGGAAAGTCTGCTGTCAGAGAGCTCTACGAAGTACTGAAGAGCAACGATGTCAGTTTGGAGACTAAGGTGCATTTGATACAGGCCATGGTCTTTGCAATTACTTGCTATGTGTCAGAAAGCTGGACAATGACTAGGGATGATAGAGAATTGATACCTTTGAGCTGTGGTGCTGGAGAAGAGTGTTGATTATAGCATGGACTGCTAGGAGAACAAACAAGTTCGTGCTGGAGAGGGTTAAACCAGGCTGCTCCTTGGAGGCAAGGAATCTGAAGCTTCATCTGACATACTTTGGACATGTTACAAGGAGGGACAGTAGAAACTTCATCTGACATACTTTGGACATGTTGCAAAGAGGGACCAGTACTTGGAGAGGGATGTCATGCTTGGGAGGGTGGAGGGACAGCGCAGGAGAGGAAGATGGGTTGATTCAGTCACTGGGGTAATGGAGGTAGGTGTGTCAGAGACAATAGGATTGACACAGGATCGAGCAGGGTTTAGGGCTATTGTCCATAGGGTCATTATGAGTCGCAGGTGACTTGACAGCACGTAACAATAACAATATTAGTTTCTTCCTCTGATGAAGCCCCGGTACCAGGTCCTGGAATAGGGTCATTTTGATCACTGCCCAGCCCGGGTGTGGGAGAGCGCAGCCCTCCCAGGGCTGGGATGGGGTGTCATCCGGGCATGTGCGCTGTGTCCTCGTGTGTGTCCATGTTGGGGGCCTGTGGCAGTGCCGCTCCTCCTTTCCTGACAGAGCAGTGAGTCAGTCACCCTCGACTTACTGACCTACACCGACCTGGAGTCCCTGCGAAACCGCAAGATGGGAGGCCGCCCTGGCCCCTTGGCTCCGAGGTCGGCCCAGCTCAACTCCAAGCGCTACCTGATCCTCATCTACTCCGTGGAGTTTGACAGGTGGGGACAAGGGCTTGCCACCCGGGCCAGGCTGGTAGGCTGGGTGGCAAAGGATAAATTAGTCCTCAGGACCCCCTGGTGCCCAGGGCAGGGTGGGGATGACGTTAGCTCAGCATTATCTTGGGTGCTGGGGTTTTGAGCATTTAGTAATTGACTACAAGTAGCCAATTACCGGTGCTTTAAATAAATAATGTTTCTCTTTTTCATATAGTAAGATGTCTAGGATAGACGGCTGCGGCCCCGTAATGCCATTGATATAGGCCCTTTATTTTTTTCTCTCCAGGCAAGCATGACTTTTATTTGAAACAAGAAAACACCCTCCCAACACAGGCTCTTTTTATCTCCCTCTGGCGTCCTTTGTTCACTCATTGCCATTGCCATTGCGTTAGGACCCTCTATTGAGTTTTCAGAAGCTGTAAATCCAACAGGAGGCTTAATTTTGCATGTTCATGGACACAAAATAGCTGCTGTGGCTCCAGCCATTGCATCTCTGTCAAAGCAGGAAAGGGGGCAGGTGCTGTGCACACTAGTTACATCTGTTCTTTTAATCAGGAAAACAAAGGTTTCCTCCACAGCTCTCCCTCCCATCCCCAGCAGATTTTCTGTGATACTTGATTGGTCAGAAGCGGGCACATGGCTTTCCCTAGGGGTGAAAGATGATGGAAAGATGAATATTTGTCTTTCTAGCCTTCATAGTGGGATGCAGCAAGGGAGACGGGAGCTGGGGATGCCTTTTGGGTAATGAGGGAATAGTCTCTGCCACATTTGCTAATACTCCAACCCCAAACCAAACCCATGGCTGTCCAGTCGAATCTGACTTGAAGCAATCCTTCACTGGGTGTCTCAGATGCTATATTGTTAGCACCTGGTGGATTTGAACCTTCCACCTCTTGGTGAGCAGCCAGTGCTCCTTACATTTGCTAATTGCTCCTGAATTTTCTGGTGGGAAATACTTCTTTGTGATTAGAATCTGGTGGGAGAGTTAATCAGTTTGTTTCTCCACAACCTCACCAACATTTGATGCTTGCTGTTCTGTTAAATTTTGCTATTCTTACTGGGGTGAGATGATATCTCATAGTTGTTTTGATTTGCATCTCTCTTAGAACTAGGAATTTTGAACATTTCTTCATGTGTGTGTTGGCCATCTGAATGTCTTCTTTGGTGAAGTGTCTGTTGACATCCTGTGCCCATTTTTC